CAGCTCAGGGTCACAGGGCAGGTGTGGGCACAGGCCAGGGTGGTCACAGAGCCCAGTACTTTCCCCTTCTCAGGCTTGGCATGAGCTCCGTTGCCCTGTCACACGACAGAGGACTCGAGGCTGGGACAATCTGCCCTCTGCCAGGCTCTGTGCACTGGGGGTGCCTGAGCCAGCAGGAAGGCCACAGACGCAAGACAGGGCACACTTGCCTCACTTGTGATGAACAGATGCAGCTTGTAGCTGGGCCTGTTCCATAATCTGTCATGATTGAGAAGTTACGCAGAGGGCAAGGAAGACCTCTCATGCATTCTGTGGGTTCTGTGTGCTTATTAACTAGCGGCTCCATGACTTCCTCTGTGACAAGGAACCCATCATATTGCTGGGTGCTGTCAGTTCCGCATACAGCAGAGCTCCTGTTCTCTGCATGAGGCTGTCCTCCAAACTCTAGCAAGAGTGACATTTGGGTGCAAATACTCTGACACTCATTAGAACTCTCCCTTTGAAAGTCTTCCTTTGAGGTTCTCCAGGAAACCTCTCAAGGTGGAAGACGTCATGAAGCTGCTGTGCTGCATCGCTGAGGAGAGGGAAAAAGGGAGCTTGAAGCCAGCTGTGGGTAGAATGATTGGTGGTCTGGTCGGAGGCCCACCTGGAGCTGCTGTTGGTAAGCCTTGCAGGGCAGCCAGACTTTGAAACCTCACAAAAGTCTCTGTCCCATGGGACATGTTTGCTGGGTTGTGGTTGCTGCCGTGACATGATCTTTGTGTCCCTAATTCACCCTATTGAAAACACATAGAGGGGCACCTGGGTGGCTCAGTCATTAAGCATCTGCCTTTGGCTTAGGTCATGATCACAGGTTCCTGGGATCGAGCCCCACATTGGGCTCCCTGCTCCGCTGGGGTCCTGCTTCTTCCTTTCCATCTCCCTCTGCTGTGTTCCTTCTCTAGCTGTTTCCTTTTCTGTCAAATAAATAAATAAAAATAATTTAAAGCAGAAAACACATAGAAATGGCTAGCAGACACATGAAAAAAAAAATGTTTAATATCATTAGCCATCAAGGAAATTCAAATCAAAACCACACTGAGAAGCCACCTTACACCAGTTAGACTGGCAACAATTAATAGGGCAGGAAACAAGTGTTGGAGAGGATGTTGGGAAAGGGGAACACTCTTGCACTGTTGTTGGGAATGCAAGTTGTTACAGCCACTTTGAAAAACAGTGTGGAGTTTCCTCAAAAAATTAAAAATAGAGCTACCCTATGACCCTGCAATTGCACTGCTGGGTATTTACCCCAAAGATACAGATATAGTGAAATGAAAGGCCATTTGTACCCCAATGTTCATAGCAGCAGTGTCCACAAGAGCCAGACTGTGGAAAGAGCTGAGATGCCCTTCAACAGTCGAATGGATAAAGAAGACGTGGTCCATATATATAAAAGAATATTACACAACCATTAGAAAGGATAAACACCCAACTTTTGTGTCAATATGAATGGGACTAGAGGAGATTAAGCTGAGTGAAATAAGTCAAGCAGAAAAAGTCAATTAATATATGGTTTCACTTACTTGTGGAGTTGAGTAAGTTCTATTTGATAGTTATCATCATACCACTCTGGAGGGCTGGCATGAAAGACAGTTGCTTCCAGAGTTACGGTCTCCTTTTCTGTCCACAGGGTCCTTTAACCATAGGATTTCACTGAAAATTTCCAAAGTTCAGGGGCAAAGTGCATATTATGAAGAAAACTCAGCCTCACCACTGAGATGATTCTCTTTGCAAATGCCCTGGCTTCTCAGCTCTGTCCTTTAAGTTGAGAGAGTTTTGTGCGAAGCAGGAAACCTGCGGGCCCTGGAGAAGATTTCAATTCTCAGAGCTGTGCGGTGGGAGATGCTTTGTGCTGCGTCTGTGAGTGCAGAGCTTAGGGAAGGGCACATTGGGTGTCAGTTATCTGAGCCAAAAGGAACAAGGACCCCAGAAACCCTTGCCCCCTCACCAAGGGGTGGAGTAGGCACGAAGCCGAGCCCATTCTGGCCTATGGGTGAATGTGCTCACTCATCACAGCAGTGGACATGCTCCCAGCAAGAGCATACATTGAACCAACTAATTGAACCTTCCTTGTTTTCTAGGGGAGGCTGTTGGGGGCCTCTTAGATACATGGATGATAAGTGGACAGTTCAAGCCAATTCCTCAGACCATAATGGAGCTGCCACCTGATAAGAAGCAAAAGCTCTATAAAGAATCCAGGGCCATCCTCAAGCACCTGAAGTGGAGGCACACCGAAGACCTGACCACATTGGTCATGGGCAGTGAGGACCTGAAGATGCAGCTGCTGGCCATGCTGGAAAAGTGCCTCAAAGGCTGAAGTCCAGTACATTGATTTCAAAGCTATTTCTGGAAAGCAGGGGTCTCATTTAGATGATTCTCCACAGGGTGGTGGGCCATTTAGATGGTTTTCGTAACTCATAGAGGTGATTGGGAGTTGGGGGAAGCCTCACCCATTCATTGCTCATGGCTTAGGTCCAACCCTCCCAGACCCAGGGTACATGGGGTCCTAGTAAGTGGTCCTGCCCTGATGGCCACTGAAGTCCCTCCCCTGGCCGGCCTGCATTCATTCCTGGGAAAAACCCTGACCCAACTCCTGAGCAATTTGGGGTCAGATAGAGCAGATCTTGCTGAGTGAAGTCAGTGTGGACTAGCTGGGTCCTGGGGTGACTGTAATGGGCAAAGGGCCTGAGAGGACAGGCTGGACCTCAAGTCCTGTCTCCCCAAGAGGTGAAAACACTTTCCTGGCTTTCCCCTCAGGCTTTCCTCTTGGCTCCTATGGTTTTAGTATTCTTACTTTTGTCTTACATTGTCTGTAAAGAACTTAAAAAAAGAGAAATGGACTAAGAGTCATCTTTTTGTATCATTCCCACAGCTTTGCCATTCCAAACAATGTCCAACATGGAATACTGCTCCTCCCTGTGCCCCAGGACCCCTGCTTCATCCCTGCCTCGACGCACCACTGTTCAGAGTCTACTCACTGGAATCTTCCTTAAAGAAATATTCTATATCACTTAGGGCTATTTGCTTGCCCTGCATGTGGCTACTATGGTGGCAGGAATGCTTAATTCTGTCTTTTTAATTAAGCCCCATATTTTGTTCTTCATTGCATGTGACACATTTTGTTTTTGTGCATTTGTTTATTTGTTTGGAGCCCTCCTTCCTTCAGAAGGTAGCTACACAAAGGCACGTGGGAGGCACTCAGTCTCAAACATTTGAGTGAAAGGTTGCTGAGTGAGGCCAGGAGGGGTGAGCGGGCTGTGGTCTGAGGTGGGGTGTGCAGAGGGAGGGTTCAGAGGCTAGAGAGAGAGTGGTCCATCCTGGAAGTGACTGACGGTCGTCAGGTGTGTCTAGGGCTGAGTGGAGGTGGGAAAGGAAAGCACCGAGGCTGAGGAAGACTCGGGTAGGAGCGCAAGGAGCACACTTTGTGGCATGCTTCATGAGGAGTTGGACCCTATCCTGGGGACTGAAGGGCTGTAAAATCTCTGTGCCCAGCCCCGCCCTGCCCACGACCTCCTGGGTAGAGCCTGCCCTCCACAGGAGGTGCACATAATTCTGGAGACTTGGCCACGGTCTCAGGCAGCACCCACCTCCTCCCTCCCTCTCTAATTGCTCTGTTTTCCTTCCACTTCACAAGTGGGTTGGCTAGTAACACCGAAGTCTGTTTTATACACATATAGATAGTTAGCAAACACAAAATGTGTGGTAAGCTGTGTTCTGTCTTTATGTTATTAACACACAAAAGCAAGAAAGCTCCAAGTTAGAGCATCTACAATTCAGCCCAATGTGCAGCAAGCCATATGGCGAAAACATGGGACAGGAAGAAACAGAAGTGCATCCTCTCTGCCTTCGTCTGGAGAGCTGCCTCTGCAAGCCGGGGCCACGGGCTCCTCTGGCCTGCGTGTCCCAGCCAAGGCTGTCTGGCTTCCATTAATCCATCCATTCATTCATTCCATTCATTCATTCATCAAATATTCTTTGAATTCCTGTCAAGGGCCAGGAAGTGTTCCCTCACCAGGAGAGAGGAACCAAGACAGGCAGAGGTCTGTCCTCAGGGAGGGAGAAGGGGTCAGGACATAGGTAAGCAAAACACATGAGAAAGACACCATGATTGCCTCCAGTTACAAGAACTCTTGAAAAGTAATAGGGCGATGTGATAGAAAGTGGAGCAGAGGCCTGCCACTAAGGATAAGGTGGATTTAGGAAGGCCTTTCTCAGGAGGAGACAGTAGAGCCAAGCTCTGAAGCATGAGGAAAATCCAGCAAGAATTGCTGTGAAGAAAGTAGCCCAGACAGGGAACAGTATGTGCAAAGGCCCTGAGGTGGGAATGAACTAGTGCTTTAGTGGAATTGCAAGAAGCCTGGAGTAGAGGGACAGTGGGACAAGACAACAAGATAGCTGGGTGACAGAGGCATCAGGGTCTTACAGACTTGTAGGGAGTTTGAGTTTTACTCTGGTGCTATTAGAAGACCCTGAAGCGTTTGAAGTAGAAGAGTGACTACTCTGATTTACATGCTTTTTAAAAGATTATTTATTTATTTATTTATTTGACAGACAGAGACCACAAGTAGGCAGAGAAGCAGGCAGAGAGAGTGGGGGAAGCAGGCTCCCTGCTTAGCAGAGAGCCCGATGCAGGGCTCGATCCAGGACCCTGAGATTATGACCTGAGCTGAAGGCAGAGGCTTAACTCACTGAGGCACACAGGTGCCCCTCTAATTTACGGTTATAGATCACTCTGCTGCTGAGGGAGGTGTGGATGGGGAAGCAGGCATATCCTGGTGTCTTAGAGGCAAGTTGCCCAAGCCAGGCAAGATGGCAGCTTGGCCAAAGTTGGGGCAGGATGGTGGGTCACAGGGGCCAGATGTATTTGCAAATAGGTGGGGGAGGGCTGCCCATTGCCTGCTGAGAATGCAGACCCATGACCTTGGGTCCATGGTGGCTGACAAGGACCAGGGCAGTGTAGCTGGGCAGAGATGTGAAAATACAGCTTCCCTGCTCTCAGCAGGTGAGGAGCACCATCTGTGTCATTGCCCATGGAAGGCCTGGTTTTCCTTTCCTCTCCCCTCACCTCCATGGTCATAAGCATAGTGACTCATCACGGGCATTCTCCTGCCAGGTGGAAGAGAAGGGAGAGGAAGTCACTGCCTAGGATCACACAGGATAAGGGGCACCTCAGGAGGACCCTTTTCCATAGACTGCATGAAGCCTTGGGGTGTTAGCCAGCCCTTTCCAACGTCCACCTGACTATCTTTCACTGCAGCTGGCAGAGGAAGGGTGGCACTGCCCATACCAGCAAGGACACACATTCCCATGTAGCCCACAGTGGCATGGTTTTTCATCTTCGTTGTGAGAGCGGACCGTTGCCTTCTCCTCGAATAGTGGGAAACTGCACATAGCAGTGTGCGGACCCCAGAAGCAGAGTGCAGCATGTGGGAGGTGAGGAGGGACTGCCGAGAAGCCATGACCTAAGCACAGGGGAGTGTAGAAGTAGGAGTGGCCAGCGGGCCCTGGAGCGAACATGGCCCTAGGGCTGTCCTGCTTTGGCCAAAGTGACCAGGCTTTTCTATCTCCGCCTCCATCAGCTGCTGTGTGGCAGCATGTGGCCCTGGCAAGGCTGAGGAAGTCCTGGAAGGCTGGCAGCTGGAGGCTGAATGCTGGCGACACCCCCGCAGCTGGGGCAACGAGCACCTCCTACAGGGGCCTTGAGAGGTGTGTTTCCATGTCCACCACATTCCATCCCGCTAACTCAGCCATGACCCATTTATAAACCAGTAGTTGGGGTTGTGCTAATGTGACATCTTCCTTTCCCTAAAGCAGGAATAGCCAAATGTCCATGACCATGAGCTGACAGCTCTGAGACTCGGTAGGCTCTTTCTAGGCCACCAGCCAAAGGGGCAAAGATAAATGGTCTTTCTCCTCCATCCAGATACATCAGAATTAGGTGATGTCATGTGATATCTAATCCTTATCAAATTTTCCCATTATCCCAGATTCCTGTTTTCAGTCAGGATCCAATAAAAGTCCGTGCCTTGATTTTGCTTCTTGGGTCTACTTTTTGGTCTCCTTCTGTCTAGAACCCCCAATTCCTCTCATTCCCACCCCCTTTCTTCTCATGATTTGGTCTTTGACACGTCCAGGCCAGTTGTCTTGTAGGACATTGTCCACTCTAGATTTGTCTGATGATTGGAATTCTTTAACTTCTTCTTCTTTTAGCTTTATTTAGCTATAGTTTTCCCATGTAAAGTGAACAATTCCATAACTTTTAACACATTCACAGATAATGGGTGGCCATCACCATATTTGGTTCTATGACATTGTCATCTCCTCAAAACCCATTTGCTGTTATCCTCCTAAGCCCCTCTCCCCAGCCCTAAGCAACCACTAACCTACTTTCTCTCTCTTTGGGTTTTCCTAATCTGGCTTTTCATAGAATGGAATCGTGTGGTATTGTGTCGTTGGTAACTAGCTTCTTTCTCATAGCATAATGTTTTCAATTTGTTCACGTGGTCACATTTCTTTTTATGACTAAAGAGTATTCCTCTATGTGGGGATGGCATATTTTGTTTATCCACTTGTGCACTGAGGGACATTTGGGCTGTTTCCACCTCTTAGGACGAATATGCTACTTTCCACATTTGTGTACAAGTCTTTGTGGGGATGTATGCTTTCATCTCTTTGGTAGATGCTGGGTAAATTGCTGGGTTACTTCATGTTTAATTTTGGATGTGCTGCCAGACTGCTTCACAAAGCTGCTGAAATATTTTCTATTCCTGTCAGCAGTGTATGAGGCTGACTTCTCCACAGCCTGACCAGCCTGACTAGTGGGCGTCACTCTCTGACTTTTTGATGCAGTTCTCCTCAGTGTTCCACGGTGGAGGCTTCTCTCTAAGCAGGGGTTCTTCTACTCCCACAGCCTCACCCCAGCCAACTAGGCCTCCTAGACCCAGATAATGAAGGATACAAATGACACAGAACCTGATGGCATCATTTTCTTATTTTTGTAGTTGGTCAGATCCTGCAATTTCCTACCAAGTTTCACTCAGTGCCCTAATAAGATCCTCAGGAAGCAGCCAGGGTAGAGCTGTAAGGTGAAGACACTTAGGCCTCTGAGAGGTGAAGGTTGCTCAAGTGAGCTGGTGCTGGAGATGGGGCCAGGGTTCCTGGGAGCTGCAGTGTGTAGTACTGGGGAAAGTGGCCTAAAGGAGGAGTTTCCTGAGAGCAGGTGACTCATAGAAACAAGCCTCCATTCTAATCTGCATGCTAGGCTCCCTGTCCAGGATGCTTCTGTTCCCCATTACTGTTT